GTACATTTTCAAAATGAAGTGATGGTGTTTTTCTCCCAACAACCAGGTGGGTTCTACTGAGGAATCTCTGCTGCCTTCCAGTTGATTGGGCTACCTTGTTCTCACCTTCTGTGGCTGATAGGAGTTTGAGGATGTGAGCAGACATCTGTGTGTCTGTGACTCATTACCTGTCAGGATCCAAATCTCTTGCTCTTCATCTCCCTGAACTACTTTTGCACTCTTTATGGCAGGAATCACAGAATGGTAGGGGTTGGAAGGGACCTCAGGAGATCATCTAGTCCAACCCCACTGCCAAAGCAGGTTCCCTACAACAGGTTGCACAGGAAAGCATCCAGGCGGGTTTTGAACATCTCCAGAGATGGAGACTCCGCAACCTCTCTGGGCAGCCTGTTCCAGTGCTCTGTCACCCTCACAGTAAAGAAGTTTTCCCTTAGGTTTATGTGGAACTTTTGGTATTCCAGTTTTTGAAAAGAGCCCGGCCCCAGCCATTTGGCCCCTGCACTTCAAGTATTTGTAGACATTGATAAGATTTCCTCTCAGTCTTCTCTTCTCCAGGAACCAAGTCTATGGGATACCCCCAAGTAAGTCCTTGAAGAGGTCAAAGTTGGCTCTCCTAAAGTCCAGGGTTGCAACCCTACTTACCTGCTTGCATCTTCCACATGAGATCCTGAACTCTACCATCTCATGGTCACTGCAACCCAGGCTGCCCCCAGCCTTCACATCCCCAACCAGCCCTTCCTTGTTAGTAAGAACAAAGTCCAGAATCACACCTCTCCTCGTTGGCTCTTCTGCCACCTGCATCAGAAAGTTATTCTCTACGCATTGCAGGAACCTCTTGGACTGCGCGTGCCTGGCCGTGTTTATCTGCATGGGATCAGGGTCTGATGGAAGTTCTAGATTGTCTCTTTGAGTGTGGGAAAAATCCAAGGGCTTTCCCGTCAATGACCAAATAAATTTTTGACCACGTGTGGCAGGATTATGAAACTGTTAGTATAGAACTTGTGAGAGAGCTCAGGTGCCTCAGGAACACTGTCGTGCATATTTACTATTTTGGATCTAAACAATGTGGCCACCTAGTGTTCAAGCACCTTGCTGTTCTGGTATGACCAGTGACCACAGTTCAGTCATGGTGCCAGGTAATTTTAACTGCTGTGAGAATTGTACCTGTTGACTTGGGTGAAGGTTGGGTGAATGAAAGGCTGCTGGCAGTAACTGGCATTCTCCGAAATGTGCAGCTTTTGTGTGCTTTACTCCCTCAGTTGCTTTTTCTGTCCTATCTATCCCAACAATCTTTTAACTGTGTTTGAAGAGAATTGAAAAGCAGTCAGGTGTGTGCCTTGCCATGTCACATACCGAACAGAAGTGGATGTACTCCTGTATGCTACTGCACTTTGTGGCTAACGCGGCGTTGATGGCACATGAATGTTGTGGCTGTTGCTGAACAGCACTTGCACAGGTAAAGGCTTTCTCCCCCCACCACGAGCAGGCTGAGGCAGGGCAGGAGGTTGAGTGGGGACACATGCTCAGCAATAAAAGCTCAGGGAAAGGAGGAGGAAGGGGGGGATGTTTGTGCTCATGGTGTTTGTCTTCCCAGGCACTATGCATGTTGAGACTCTGCTTTCCAGGAGCTGGCGGGACATCTGCCTGCCAATGGGAAGTAGTGAAAGAATTCTTCTTTTTCTTTACTTGTGCACGCAGCTTTTTCTTTACCTATTAAACTGTCATTGTCTTGATCCATGAGCCTTTTAACCTTCCTTCTATTTTACCCCTTTCCCCTCTGTGAACAGGACAGGAGAGTGAGTGAGAGGCTGGGTGAGTGTTTGGCTTTTGGCCAGGGTCAACCCACCACACCTTTATAGATTTTGTAAAGAAAAAGCTTCTCATGTGGCAGAAAAGGAGTATTGTTGAACTGTAACACTCGGAGAGTGCCATGTGAAATCGTGGTTGCCTCTTACCAGTAACTTTTTATTTTTTTTAAACCTAATTTTGGAAAGAAGCCTGGGGGATTAACAGGAGAATGTGCACTGAAACTCATTTAACTTAACTTCTTCTGTGAGGGTCAGTCATTCGTGCCTATCCTGGCATTATAAGATGGTGTGTTTAGAGGTCTGGCATTGACACAGAAGCATTATTGATGCAGGAGAGAGCAGAAGTAGGAATGTATTGTTGTATAGGTCAACTTGAAAAGGAAATTGATAATCCTTCATTTGAATTTTAGAAATTTGTATTACTGAAAGTGAATACCACTTCAATATTCAGGAGAATGAAAAGCTCATAAATCGAGTATTTAGGAAATAACCATAATGGGGTTTAGGTCTTTATTTTACCATCCTACTAAACCAATATCATGTAATGAATAAAATCAAGAAAATATTGACTTTTATTACTGCAGAGCTGCCTGCCTTCCTGGATATGGTAGTTAAAATTTTTGGCAAGTTTCATGTCACATGTGCACTTCTACTCCTAAATCACCCCAGATCCTCAGTGCTGCCTGTTCTTTTGGGCTTGGTAGTGATAAGAATCTGACCAACTTCATCTGTTGTTAGTGACATCTAGGCAGAAGAGCAGCTGCCTGTGTGTTGGGAGCACGTATGGGGAACCAAAATATCAGTGTTCAATATCAGTTTTTATTGACAAATCATTATGGAACACTATTAAGCATAGAGAGTGCTGCATCATAACTAAGAAAAGAGTGGAAGGACATGAGCCTTCAAGTAGGCAATGTAGAAGAATAGAGAAGATTAAGATTTTTTTTTTTTTCAGAGTTTGTGATACTAATTTTTTTTCCCTCAGAAAAAGAAGTAGAGATTAAAGTAGAATAAAGGAGAGAGACTTTAATAAGAAGTACAGGTTGATTTTAATTACCTTTATGAAGGTATATAAGAATGTTTCAAGGAGACCAGCATCTTGGCACAAATTTAGAATTTACTGTGAGGGTGGTCAGACACTGGCACAGGTTGCCCAGAGAAGTTGTGGCTGCCCCCTCCCTAGAAGTGTTCAAGGCCAGGCTGGATGAGGCTTTGAGCAACCTGATCTAGTGGAAGGTGTCCCTGCTGATGGCAGGGGGGTTGGAACTGGATGATCTTTAAGGTCCCTTCCAACCCAAACCATTCTAGTATTCTGTGATTCTACCAAATACTCTTGGTCCATAATCACAAATATTCATTGTTTCTACAAAAAAGACTAAACATGAGTGGGTTGTCTTATAATTGGATTAGTGGCTACTACAGTGAAAACTTCTGCAGCTAATTCATTAA